TGAAATTATACTACAAAGCTACTGTTATAACATCAACATGGTATTGCCAAAAAAACAGACTTGTGGATTGCTCTGAGGCTGGACAGACAAGGGAACTCTTCACCACTGCTGTTGAAAGTGTAGACTGATGCAACCACTGGGGAGATCAGTCTGAAGATTCCTCAGTAAACTAGAATAGAGGTCCCATTCGACTGAGCTATTTTCCTTCTGGGTATTTTTCCAGAATAACTAAAAACATCACAGCACAATGATATGTGTTCACCCGTGTTTATAGCAGCACAATTTGTAATAGCTAAATCACAGAAGCAACCCAAATGTCCATCAACTGAGGAGTGGATAAAAAAGATATGGTATTTTTATATAATGAATATTATTCAGCTATAAAGAAAGATAAATTTGTGGCTTTTATGGGTAAATGGATGCAACTAGAGAACATACTCATAAGTGAAATAAATCAGACCCACAGATATAAATACCATATTGTCTCACTAGTGTAAGAAACTGAAACATTAAATAAAATCTAAAAGGTATAATAGACATTATAAAAGGTAAAGTGATTGCTTAAAGGAAAGAACAAGTGGGATGAGGGAAAAGAGAAAAGAAAGAAGGGAAAATATGTATATATACATCTACAAGACAGCTAAGATAATTGTGTACTATAAATTTCTATTGCTTTATGGAAAGGAACAGTTAATGTTTAATTGTTTGATGAATCTTACATGCCTATATTCATTTAACTGAGTAACAAATTTGAACATAACAATATGTAATACAACAACCATTGTTAATTTCCTATCACCTTGTCTGAAATTCTGTATTGCTACTATTGTGTTGCTTTTTTTTATTGTGTGTTTGTTTGTTAATATGTTTTTGTTCTTTTATCTTTAAAATAAAAAACAAAGTCAGGGAAATCTTAACACATGTACCAACAATTCTCCTCCTACATCTAGGCCCAGTAGAAATTTGGGGAGTTGGCACATAAAGACAAGTTGTAGATTTTACATATCTCTGCTATTTGTAATAGCCCTACTCTGAAATAAAGCCACATGGTCCATTCAAAATTAGTTTTTTGCTACTTATACACTAATGTACAGAAATGCTAATGAATACTCCATGATAACATGCACAACCAGGTCAAATCTTTAATAATATGTGTAATGAAAAAGCCAAATACTAAAGAATTAATGTCGCATAATTCCACTTGTGCAAATTACCAAACAGATTAGTCAGTTCTCCTTGATGCCAGGATAGTAGTGACTGATGTGGAGTGGTAGTAACTGTGAGGGTCACAGTGAACAAAGGGGGAGCATACTGTACTCTGCCTACTGATCTTGATGCTACAAAGCAGAGAAGTGCTAGATTATACAGTTCCATTGAGGCCTATTCCCTATCTCTGTATGTGCCTTTAAAATAGAAAGAAATACATATCTTCATGAGAAACCATTGCAAGAAGATAAATACAATAATGTTGAACTTATATTGCCTACGGGGTGTTTGAAAACCCTATGTAACTTCACATTATGTTTTGTTTCCATTGTGAGGTGCAATTTCTATATTAGACAATATTAAGATTCTGAGTATGCACCATACAAAGTAAAAGATTAAAATGTGTAATTATAAAACATGCACACAGGAAAATTTAAGACAGAAAGGGTGAAAAAATAGACTTGATAAAAAGCACAAAATAGATTGACAAGTCTAAACCCCAGCACATTATGATTATAGAACAATTATTACCTCCAAAAGCAAGTCAGATGTTTCTTTTAAGAGGAAACACTGGAGGCACATAATTGGAAAGAGTTTTGGATTTATAATTAAAATCTCAAAGTTAAAAGAGTGAAAACTACAAATCATGCAATTATAATTGCATGATTATTAAATCTTGATGAATGACAAACTTAATCAGTTGGTGGTTTGCTTTGGTTTGGTTTGGTTTGTGGTATTGGAGATTAAACCCAGAGTCATTCTATCTTTGAGCTACATCAGCAGTTGTTTATTTTTGGATTTTTAGGCTGTGTCCCAATAAGTTGCCCTGGAAATTATGGCCCTTTTGCATCAATCTCTCAAGTAGCTGGGATTACAGGCATGCACCACTGTGCCTGGCATAATCAGTGTGTATAACTCTCTACACATATGTAGACACATGTACATGCACACACATGCATATATATTTCCATGTATGTTTATAAAGAAACATTTGTTTCTAGTTCACATGAGGAACATTAAAATATTCATCATGGGGCTAGAATGTTACTCAGAGGTGTAGTTCTTGGTGAGCATGTGCAAGAACCTAGGATCAATGTGTAGACCATTTGTGTTACTAGGCTACAATACCAATGCAAATATATATATATAAACAAACATATATGAATATATACATATATGCAATATATACATTTCTGTGTATGTGTGCATATAAACCTATGTATATTGTGTTCCAAGCATATATACTTGTAGCTCTCTATTATAATATGTGAGAATATTTTTATTTATTTCATTTGAGTTAAAAGCAAGTATTTCATTGTTGTGACATATAGTTCGATATAGTATCTTTATTTCACTTAATTTATCCCCCATTTTTAATCCTTAAGAAGCTGCATTAGCTTTATAAAGTAGTTATAGAGGTAATTTATTAAAATATTTCTTGTTATTAAGGAAATGTCCCTTTCACTCTTTAAGAAATCCATGAGCCCCATAAAAAAAAAAATGGACATACAACTCTGCTCCTCTAAAATGTTATTCCTGCACTATTTGAAATTAAATGAAAGACTTCACAAATTTATTTCTTTACTTTGGGGATATGAAAATACATCATAAAACTTCTTCATAGGCAACATGGGACAG